GTGTTGTGCTGTACCACATAGCAGGGCGCAAAGCACACAGGCGAGCCGCGCCCTCGCGCGTGTGCGTCAGAGGGTCTTTTCGGGAGGTTCCGACGGTTTCGTGCAATTTCATTGGTTGGTCGATTTTCCATCAGCAAGATCCGAGGACGCTTTTTCGAATTTTTTCCTATAGGAAATTTTCCGCTTTGACACCCCTAACAGTTTGGCTCCTGTGGGACCGTAGGTACTGCTATTAGACCTCGAGATTAGAAGTTTTTCATGGCGAAAAAATGTCCTTGGTCGCTAGCCGAATAGACTCTTAAAAATATTTTCCAACCAATGGAAACAGCAGATTGGGCGGACACGTCACAATATTTTGGACAAGCCCGAGACTTCGTTGTCACCACATGCACGAGCTGGGTACAGCTCACTCTCTGTGCATTTCCGCCTGCCAGAAGTCCGGTCACGGCACCGCCGAATGCTACACAACCGCTCCTCTTCGTTTTCCAGCATCCGCGCTTGCTTCTTCGCTTCTTCCTCTGCCGATTTTTGCTTTGCGGCAAGCTTGCGCTTCACCGCAGCCGCCTGTTTCAGCTTGTTGACGTGAGCGACGCATATTGACTTCAAGGCAGGGTAGTCCTTGTCCTCGAGAGCCTTCAAGCGGCGCGCATCAACTCCCGCTTGGGAAAACGTGATGCCAGTTCGCGCCATAAAGTTTTCGCCCTGTTCCTTGAAGCTTTTTCTTCTCCTCCCCTTTGTCCATTTCTTCTGCGTCCAGCGGTGCCCATGAGAGGCTTTGCGGCGTTTGCAATCTCTCTACCGCAACAGCTAGGATCGGGATGCGGTTTGTTGCGGTGTGTGCGCAAAACCCAAAGGAAGCGATCACCCGGTTCAGTTTTTCGAACTCAACGGGGAAAAAACGAGAAACCTGGCCAAAGGCCTTTAAAATCCAGTATAAAAGGTATGTTCTCAGTCTTCCGGGGTGCGGACAAAAAATCCAAACCGGGTGATTCATACAGTATGGTCTGTAGACAGGTGTTGTAAAGGTTGAAGCGCTGACTCTCCACCTGGGGCCAGCACTTTTGATTGTTGAATCCGGTCTCAATCCAAGATACTAATATTTCGGCCGAGTCAGGAAAGAAAAAATGGTTTTTGGGCTGGTTGTTATGCCGATATTTGCTGGTCGTTAGCGGTCAAATCTCGAGGTCTAACTGTAGACTACGGTGTAAGCAACGACTCCGGTGGCCTCGTGACTTACCTCGTAAACGTGCTCGCAGCAGCTTGTGCATTTCACCCTCTCTCGGGAATGAATGATTTGCAGTTCTGTCATAGAAAGCGATTTTTTCGTGAGTAGACGATACTACAAGCAAGAGGGAACGCACTCTGCTCAGCCTTTCTTCATCGACCGCAAACAGGCCATTGCGGGGACAAAAAAGTCTCTCGTGTAGCTCCAGGCCGGCCAGCCCTGACTCTGTGTCCCGCAGCCAGATGGGTTGATGCAATCGTGCGTTGATCGGTGGCCTTGCGCATTGAGGGAGAAACGAGGGAGAGGGGCATATGCACATACAGCGCTTTACTACGAAACTCCCGGACACCGCGGCCACATCGCGCCGCCGCGGTATACAGTCGACCCCGCTTTAAGGACGCCCATGTTTTTTCCCGAAAACAAGCGTCCTTAAAGCGGGGTTGCGTCCTTAAAGTTCGGGGGACGATAGCTCCCCATCCCCGAGGCCAATGGAGGCATGCTATACCTCAAACTACGCGTCTTTTGCTAATGAAGGGGGTGGCACGAAAAGTCAGCATCGCCAAGACGACTGGCAACCGTTTGTTGACATCGAACATATTTACAAAACTTTGAATGAGATGTACAGCCGTGGGGGACGTGTTGAAGACAACTACAGTACACCAGTTTGTACTTTACCAACTAGTGTACTGCATAGCTGGCAGCGGAAGAAGGAAGGTTCAAGTAGACATATATTTATTTCATTATTGTGAAACATAAAAACACGCGCGTATTTCAGCGTCGCACCGAGGAACACCAGAACTTATCACTGTCCCGGCGGAGACCAAAAGTTACCCTGATGGCTTTTCCTTCCACATATCGCGAAGAGTTCCCTGAACGTCCCCCCGCGGCTTGGCTCTACGGCTCTGTTGGGTTTCATGAGTAAACGAATGAACGGTCTTCGAAAGAAGGTACTGCGTCTCACGGTAGTCGCCACCCCTTCCCTTCGCGTACAAATACAGATAGCGCCCGCAGTGTAGAAAAATTCTGTTAAGCAAAAAGGCGCAAGTTTGTACGAAAAAGAAGGAAAATGGCTGAAGAAAAATAGCTCAATCTCGGCCACAACGTAAGAAATGCCCCAATAAGAAACATGATGGTGCGATACCCCCATGACATCAGAAATCTGCGGTGCTCCCACCCCCCTCCGAAGCTGAACAGAAAAGCATTTTTTTTGCAAGGAGCAGAGTCCCCGCCCCCCTCCCCGCGCCCCTGCTGTTCACAGTGAGTGCTGTAGTACTGCCACACATCGCGGACAACAACCATATGCTCTCCGCTGTTGAACGGGTTTGATGGCACCCCCACCACCTCTCATGAGGAACGAGAGAATCGGGAGGATGCCACAGTCCAAAGGAAGAAATGCCATTCACGAAAATGGACGGCTTGGGCCGGTACTTGTCAAAAAGAAGGGATTGAGGCTCGAACCGATTTTGACGTTTCTTTACTGTAGGATCGAACGTCCTCCAAGCGAGAGATAACCTCGCCCTCGGTGAGGGACGAGGTTATGCACGACTTTTTTTTTTGGCGGCATCAGATGGACCGCCGGTAGATGGGAAAAATCTATCCGTGTCAACACCCAGTTGCAGCTGCAGCAGCAGACCGCTCGCTACTTCTGCTGTCTGTGCGTCGCTACTGCTGCACTTACTGTGGTGCGTGGTTCGTGCAAAGAGCGGCCCGCAGGACACAAACAGGGGGGGTACGCGGCAGAAAAAATGGGTTACCCCCATTATCATATATTCTGCTGCGCCCCCTGGTGCTCAGCAAAAAACGTTTCCTGTAAGCGGGGAGTTTCCTTAACCCGAGCGTCCTTAAAGCGGGGTCGACTGCTGTATAGCCAGTTTGTTCTCCCACATGAGGAAACGAGTTGCTGGAGAGATCATTCTACACCGACGAACAACCCAGACTCCGGCAAAGACGCAAGCGTCAAAGGTGCACCGAAACGCGTAGACCGGCATCTAGAATACATGTGACGAAAATCTAACATGCCTACTTATACATCGCCTGGTAAAGCAGTCACGTGTGTGCGAGGTGGGAGGAATCCGTTCATCGTCAACTCTGACAAGCGCGGTATATAGCAAAAGGTACCCAGCGCGAAATGGTTACAGGCAACCTTGGCTCAAAAATGTTATGCTCAGAATCGATCGCCCTTGCAATATCCACCGTCGTACATAGACAGATACACACGGTGGCCGAAAAGGAAAAGGGTCGCGTGCAGCGGCTGTTCGGCCCCGGTCATGTGCTTGTACCGCTTGCTGTATATGGTGTGACGAGGAGATCGTCAATCGTAGCCCACGAAGTCCCCTTGACCATGGCAACCATCGTCTGCGCCAAGGATGAAAACGTTTCTTGTACCTACGTGCTTCCGTATCGATAAGGAATTTCGTCGGAGGATCTGCCGCCCGTAGATTTGACCCCGCCGGACCCGCCGCGTCTTTTCTCCTTTCACCTGCCGCCGCCGCCGCTGACATACCCACCCTGGCCCAGACCGCCCCGTTACCCCAACCTGAAGTCGTGCTTGGGGCAAAAGACGCACTATTGACGAACTTGACCCGTGGTGCCTACGCTATTTTGAGCACCGTGAACTGCTCGGAAATCCATGTGACTGCTGTAAAGTGCGGAAGGATACAGACTCCTGTGCCAATGTACAACAACTGATGTCCGTGCTGCACGCTGCAGTACCTCATTGCTGCACGCTGCAGCACCTCGTTCTTCGCTTCTGCGGCGCCCCCACGCGCGCGCGATGTGCCACTCCATTGGAAACCTTGGGCTGAAGCAAACTGCCGCTATCAATATAGAGACACGCCCCTCTTGGTGAAGCACCCTCGAGGCAGTTACACAGCGCTTACAACTGTCTCTGGAATTGAAAGCACCAGAAAATATATTACCTCGTACGCAGCTACCATCCCTACGCAAGGAGGTAAGCACAAGATGCGGAACACCCTTAGCAGGATGCAGCGCACCCTTCATGCGACTCGCCGAATACCTCACGGCGCTTCGCGCTTGGTGATGTGAGAGCCTGGTCCGGTGAAAACCCGGCGTGCTCTTTCCCCGGCTCTGTAGGGATGCAAGGTCAATGGTCTCACGACTACGGCATGCACGACTATGCGTACCCTCCCGCCTCCCCCGTCTCCCTCACTCCCGTCTCCCCTTCTCTCAACACCAGCCGCATCCTGCGGAGGTACGAAGGGCGGCGGGGACGGTAACAAGTGCACCGCCATTAGCGCCTCGGCGGTACGTGGGCGATGGCGCGGGCATGGCAGACGAGGGCGGGGTTGGTGGCCCTAAGGGGGACGGGCGGGGGAAGGAGTGGACGGTGGACCTGTGCTGCAAGCGCTTGTCTTTGCTTCACCGCAAGCTTCGGCAGGTGAGAGAGGGAAAACGACAGAAAGAGAGCCCGGGAGGGGGGGGGGGGAGACAAAGGGACAGACAAAAGGACAGACAGGGTCGTATGCAAAGTGACGGAGAGCGGAGAGGACAGCAAGAGAGAGAGAGAGAGGCTATATACAGACGGATGGACAGGCAGGTGCAGGCGGACACGTCGAAACTTCAACCTCTTTCAATTGTTGCCATGCCGCCCCCTTTGCGTTGTTTGTCTTGCTGAGACCCTCCGCGTTCCCTCAAGCACGAAGCAAGCGGTTTCGTGTATTCGAAGGATAGAACCGAGCTGCTGTGGTTTCTGGACCGCTGGGTGGTGTTGACGACACCACGCGGGCTCTAGCGGCCGTTGTCAGAGGAACCCAAGCTCCTCCCGCTTTTACCCTCTCATGAAATGTCTTGCCGTCCGTGCAGGTGAAGAGCCTGCAGGCTCAGCAGGCCAGGGCCCCCGATTCTCTCGACGACGCGCAAAGAGTCAAGCTCGGGAGGAAACAGACCCTCCTGGTGAGCAAGAGGAAACGAATGGCATGGATAATTCTTTGCTCGTTGGGGGTGCACTTCAGGGTCGTGCATGCCGTAGTCGCTAGATCATTGACCGCGCATCCCTACAAAAGCTGGGACGGAGCACGCCAGCACATGACCAAGCGCGAAGCGCCGATTTCTTGTTCTGGGCTGTGGGACGACGCATGATCGTGTGTTTGCTTGCGTGCGTTCAGTGGCACACCCTCCTATGAGAACGATGTTGGGCGTGTTTTTGTGCAGCCGTCATGCTGCGAGTTGATGCGCGTCGTGGTTCTGGTGTAGATGCGGCACATGACATGAAACACTGTAGATATCACCCTCCCCCTCTTGGACAGGTTTCCAAACCTCGAATGCTCGCTCTGTTGCAGAAAGGGTCGCGGTGCCGAAAATGATGGTGTTGGAATCCTCTCGTTGAGATCTTTCCGAAAACGTAATGTATGCGTTGTTTATCCACTTTTGGTCGTGGATTACTCGAGCTGTGAAGCTCGGCCCGGGGTATGTCGTATCTTACGTCATGCAACTTACTGCTGTACGGCATCCACCCTATCTCACGCGTGTTTCCTACTGCTGTGCGGCATCCATTGGGCGGGTGGAAGGATGGGTTCACTGCGACGGTGTGGGAGGCCGTGCGTCTGGCACCCTGGCATGCTAACGGAGATGCCTGCGTTACCACCCCCGCGCCATGCTCGCGCTCGAACTCTCTTCTCTTTGTGATACACCAACACGTCGTGTACACGTACCTACCCACCGGCATGACGTACCCATCGAGACGTGATTTTTGTGTCGTACTCGACCGCCCCCCCCCCCTCCCCTCCTCTCTTTCCGACGATATGCAAAGGCGGAGATATCGGAGCTGGAAGCCCTGAGAAGAGACCTGCGCCAGAAGGAGTGGGAGAGTGACGGCGCATCAGCGGGGCCTAAGGAGAACAAGAAGTCGCGCCTCCCGCCGGGTCCCTTCGCCGCAGCCAACGCGGCGGGCGGCGGCCACGACACGCGACAGCACCAGCCGGAGGAAGACGATGGAGCCGAGTACACCCGGGACGGCCTCCGGCTAGCGTCCCCCAAGCGCCGGTTGCAGCAGCCGCCACCGCCGCCACCCAAGCCCGAACCTCCCGCTTCTTCGCGGCCATCCGCGGGGACCCCGGGAGCGGCGGCGGCGGCGCCGCCGCCCTCGCTGGGGGATGCCGATCTGTTTTCCGACGGCGGCGGGGGCGGGGTTTTGGCCATGGAGGCGTTGATAAAGCCCTCCATGGACGGCCAGGACTGGGAGAAGGAGGAGGGTGACGGCGGGTTCAACTGGGAGGAAGGGTTCGAGGACGCGGGGGGGTCTAGCGAAGGGCGGGAGGAAGCTAGGCCGATGGTGGAGGCTCTGGCGGGGGGTTACCCGAAGAGGCTGGCCGGGCTGATGAGCTTCTGCCGCGTGTCGGACAAGGCGACCTGCGAGATCCTGGTCGAGATGGGGAGGGTGACGGTGAACGGAGTGGTGGCGAGGGACCCCGGGATCAAGGTGGACCTGTTGACGGACATCGTTGTCGCGAACGGTGAGTGAGGTGCTTGGGCGGGGCGAGAGGGAGGGCGGGGCAAAGAGGCCGAGAGAGAGACAAATGGTTTGCGTAAAGGAATATTGTTCTGGCGGATTCTCCGTGTTCGTTCGGGCCGGGCTGATTCACGTTGGTTTGGGTGGGGTCTTGATGTACGGATACGGGTTTAGTTGTCTTGGTACGTTGCTCTGCGACATGAGCACCAAGCAGGCAGCGTGTTATGTTTTTGAAGGGCGTCGAGGCCTGATTCATTTGCTGCTACATCCGGCGGTAGGAGGTGGAGAGGGTTCGAGAGATGCTGCCGGTGCGTTGGTCAATGCGTTGCACTCATGTTGGGCTTGTTTGGCCATTGAGCCGGCCTCGGCTGTCTCTTTGTTGAAATGAGAGAATCGTCCTCGACACCCGCTTGGGAGGCTCTTTTCAAGGGCCATCTCCACACGTCTTGTCGTCGTCGTCGTCGATCGTTGTTGTTGCAGTTATATTGCTGTTTCAGCGCTGCTGCTTGTAGAAGCTGCGCTGGCTTGTATAATGGTTTGCTGTCGGCTTCTCTGTGCTCTTCCTCTGTGCGCTTTCGCGGTGCACGTCCCGGCGTGTCATGTAGTGCCCCGGCTGTCTTCACTCTACCCGTGGACGATGCAACGCCAACAAGCCTCTCGTTGGAAGCCCGAACAACCTCTTCTGCGTGACGCAAGCCAGCACGAACCTACCCCCCCCTTCTCGCCTTCCCGCCTGTGATTCGTTTGTCGCGGTGCTTGCAGGCGTGGCGGTGACGTTTCCCGGAAAGATTGACAACTCGGACGAGACTAGAAGGCCTCGGGAGGACGCGGGGAAGGTAGAGACGGTAGATACGGGAGAATTCGTCTAGCACCCGCGTCTATGAAACGTCAATTTGGTGTCATGGCTCGATTTCATATTCCGTCACCTCCGTCGAGCATACATAATTATATCGTAGGTTGAGGTGTGTTTCTTTGCCGCTTTTTTCTTAGTTATCGCCACAATCCGAGCCTCTGTTTCCGAAAGTTTTTTCTTGATCGCCGGCGTGACCTGGTTTGTTTGTCCGGGGGTGGCGCTAGGAGTGATGGCGCCAACACCTTGGTTGAGTATGTCTCCCTTTTGCGCCTGGTAACGGGCTTCACGAAAGCGGTTTGTTGTCTTGGGTGGCCACGTTGTCCCTGGGTTGGGTAAGATCGCTTGGACAGTGGTCCGCTACATGCACCTTGTGTAGAACGGAGACCCCTATTTTGAAAATGAGAGAGGAGGTGTTGGTTTCGACCTGTCAGTCCGTTGGGGTTTTTCGTTCACGCAGAGAGTCTTGGCGTGCCAGAGAAAGAGAGAGTGAAAGAGAGAAGAGAGAGTGAAAGAGAGAGAGAGAGAGAGAGAGAGAGCAGCGTAGAATAGTGTAGGTTTTATTTTTATTTTTTCTGCACAAATTGAAGAATGAAACCAACAGCACACACAACTCGTACGCCCCCCCCCCGTCAATCCGGCCCACAGCGCACTGGGCCAATTCCCAAAGCGGAGAAGAACACCTGGAAGCAGAAAACCAAGTACCGCTGGGGCATGGACGATGGTTTGTTGGCCAAGCGGACGAGAAGGGCAGCGAACGCCAAGGCGTTCGACAAGAAGCGCCAGACCGGCGGCGGGGGGTTCGACAACTGGTGATGTTGTCGTGCACGGTGGGGGATGGGGGTGGGCTCACGATCGGCGGAGGGATCGTCGGGTTGCGGGCAAGGCACCGCCGGGAAACAGCGAGGACTTAGGGCCGGGTTGGTGGGTCGTTGTGTCCGAGGCCAGGGGGGAGGGCATGGATTGGTTTCGTCGCTTCTTTCTTCTTTGCGGTGATGATTCATTTGGTCGAGAGCACTGCTTTTCCCCCAAAGCTATTCCGGACACGTCGGTACGTGTGATGTTGTGGTAGCGCCGGTGTGTTGGGGTGTTTGATTCTGAGGGTTTGATTCTGTGGTGCACAACGGCTTCACCATGAATGAGAACTAGACGGGTGAGGGAGATTGCCCCGTCTTGCCGCTGCGCCATGTTAAGGTGGTCACCTTGGCCAAGGCCGTTTTTGTTTCTTGGAGTGCCTACGCAAACGCGACCGGAGCGGGATGCCAGTTGGCGCAGTCCATCCGAGGGTGGAGAACGTGCCCTGTATTTTCGAACCGTCCAAGACTTTGGATTGCTACAAGAAGGTCGACTTGTCTCGGTGTGATGGGGCTATGATTTTTCTAGCCTTGTGATGTAGCCGCAGTAGAGGGAGGTACATGTGGCTCACCACCGGGCGAGCGCCTCCTTATTTTTTTTTTTTGGCTGGTCAAGTGTGTCCGTTGCGGTAGTCGCGTTCACGTGTCCGGTGGGGGAATGTGTCGGAGGCGATACGGTCGTTGCTCTATCGCGAACCGTGACGTGAACGGCTCGTTGCAACTTACAGTAGGTTTGCAGCAGAGAGGCAAGTTTAGACGGCCATGTGCCGTGCACGTAAGTACGTACGTCATGTCGTGATTTATTTCACTTGTTCACGTTGCGAACGAAATCATCTGTATGTCAGCTTAAAAACACACTGCAGTTTTGGCACGCAACTAAACTGCGAGGGTTTCATCGACGCGTCATGGTGTCCCCAGCCTGTCGGCAATATGTCGTTCTTGTTCCCAAACCTCTGTTCTTCAGAATCGCCTCTTGCGCCAGCGGCATTGATTGATGACATGTGCCCAACTTGTTCACTTATTATTTTGTCATGGGAATGATGGGTACCATATACGCTTTGTGCTGGGAGGGGGTGGCACGCAAAGCTGGCACTGATCGCGTGTCGGAGAACATCACACGGCGGCTTGGAATTCTTGAGCCTCGTCCCGTTCTCTCGTGATTGAAATGTGTCGTCCCATCGACCCCATACCCGAAAACATCCTGTTCGTGATGATGGTTATCTTCCGTGGAATGCGGAGCCTGCTACCAGAGGTACTTTTTCCCTCCGTCATCGTGGATGACGGGATGGGAGGGGAGGGAATTTGCATGGACACCATCAACGGAACATATCCGTCCGAGATAATTGACCGACCGCCTGGGGGGGGGTGTACTCATAGTCATGCATGCCGTAGTCGTTAGACCATTGACCTCGCATCCCTACAAAGCCGGGACGGAGCACGCCGGGTTCTCACCGGACCAGGCTCTCACATC